GCAATGCCTACACTACAGTCGTGGAGGAAGTGGTCCCCTCCAGAGATCAAAGAGTCTGGAGCCATTCTTTCCGAAGGAGCCTAACTGAAGTTGAAACCAATCAGTTCCATGTTCTCTCATCAATCTTACACTCTCTGTTTTCCAGTCTCAAGGAAGTGACACTATTTTTTGGACTCTCACACGAAATTTTTTGGTCGCCTCTTTCTATAAAAATTTAACTCTACAATCCATGCACTCGAGTCTTTTGAGCTCGGTGCATAACAGAGTCTGGGCATCCATAGCCCCACCTAAAGTACAAACATTCAATTGGCTTGCCTTCTCCCACAAAGCTCTAACAGTGGACAAACTCCATAAATGAGGGGTCCAGCTTCCTAACAAGTGCGCTCTGTGTGAAAGTGAAGAGGAGACCAACCTTCATCTGTTCATCCTCTGTGATTTCTCCTTTGAACTATGGGGCACCGTTCTACAACTGTTTCGTATCAGATGGGTTACTCCCCCATCAGTCAAGGACCTAATCTCTTTTGATCCACAATCTTGCTGACCCAATGCAGGGAGAATTCTTTGGAGGGCTATGGTAGCAGCTATTATCTGGTCCATTTGGCTCGAAAGAAACTCTAGAATCTTTCGTGGATGCAAACTCCAACCTTCCGCTATATTTCACAGAGCAGTTTCTTTGGTCACATTTTGGGCTTCAAACCAAAAGATTTTTAAAGGTCACATTTTGGGCTTCAAACCAAAAGAAACCAGGGAGTTTCTTCTTCCCCCATTGGGTCAACCTCCTTCACCTTCAACCTCAATCTACTGGGCCTAATAATTGGCAGCACCCCCCCCTCAAAGAATGATCAAGCTAAATTTTGATGGGTGCTCCTTAGGCAACCCGAGCCCAGTAGGGGTTGGAGGAGTTTATAGAGACCACGAAGGCACTGTCCTCCTAGCTCTTTCAGAGTACATAGGCCTTAAAGACTCCACCCATGCCGAAAGTTTGGCCCTTTTGCATGCCCTCAAAATCTACAATCAGACGTGGGGCCCACACCACATTGTGGAAGGGGACTCTAAGAATGTCCTCTCCTGGGCTAGCAATTCTAGCACTCCACCATACCACTTATTCCTATATTTGATGAGATACATCACATTTGCAAGGCTATGGACGTCTCCTAGATACATACTTGGAGGACATCGAACGACACCGCAGATCGCCTGGCAAAAGAGGGAGTTAGAAGACAGGGACAAAAAGTGCAACCTGGGTCCACCTTTCTTGACGCAAGGACTAGGGGCATACAATCTCCACATCTCAGCCTGAGTTTTTGCACATCAATCTAAGGGCGATTCTATAAGCTTTTTTGACAGAGAGGTTTTTTGAAAGCTTTTTGTATATCCTTGTATAAGGGCGATTCTATAAGCTCTCTTTCCTTTTTTTTAACTACACTGTAAAACCAAGCAACTGAGCATTGTTATAAGCCACTGTACAAATTTGGTCATACGATTTTTTACCGAGTCCCCAGCTATGGGTAACTTCGGAACTCTAATTTCTGTAATCTCTTCAATGTTAATACAAGTTAACCTTTCCTCAAAAAAAAAGAGATGTGTGGGGCCTTGAAAGGGACATTCCACAGGATTTTTAGACGAAAAAGAGCAAAGCTTACGCTTTCGGAACCCTATCTGGGCCTTTGCCCCTTGTTGTTTTTACTGTTCTCTAAAATTTCCTTGCATCAAGTGGGTATTAGAACCTGCGATCTACAGAGAAGTACTGTAGCAAGTACATAAGCTACTGTAACAGGTATGAAGTTACTGTAGCACCACTTTTTTTGGTGCCCTAAGTCAACAACAATGAGGGGAAGTTATAGTGGGGTCTAGGGTTTGCTGATTTGGGCCAAAGTTTTGCCAAACAAACATATATCTTGCTGATTTCAGCAATTTTTGTTGATTATTTACCTAAGGTTTGTGATTTCGGTGAACCTATGGCAAAGAGAAGGGGTCGTACAATGGGGGTTTTCGTAGATCCACTCCGTGATCCCATAGATGACAAAATTAAGGAACTTGAAAGGCAAGTACAGCAGCTGGTGCAGCAGTTTGCGAACCTTAATAATGGGCAAGACGATCTTTTAGCCCAAGAGGATCTCGAGTACAAGCCTGTTCACTTTTGCACTCCGCATGTGGAGTCGAGTGATGAGGATAGCGATAAAAGACATGGATGTGGAGAACATCACTCTAGGGTTTCCGATTTGAAGGATGAGATTTTTTATTTTGACACAGATTGCATGGAAAGTGTGTGTGTGTGTGTATGGGAAAAGATGGGATTAGCCCACTAGCTCATATGAACATATAAGCCCAACGTCCTAGATTGAATCTGAGCCAATCTGACGATCACGGATGTCCGGTAGTATTTGAATTCTATTTATTTTTCTACAAATCCAAACCACTTGAAATTTTGGGCGTGTGTTCATCAAAAATAAGTGAATCTTTGAAAAATATCAAAAAAATATTTTACGTAAAACAAGTTGACCAAAATACCCCCGAAAAGTTTTGGGGGTATTTTGGTCATTTTTTACACAAATAATTTTTTTTATATTTTTATTAGGTGCGCCAGATGAGAAGAACACACACCCAAAATTTCAAGTGATTTGGATTTGTAGAAAAATAAATAAAATTCAATAACTATCGGACATCCATGATCGTCAGATCGCCCCAGATTCAATCTGGGCCGTTGGGCTCATATGTTCATATGAGTTAGTGGGCTAATCCTAGCTTTTTCCTATATATATATATTGTTGCAACTATGTGAAAGAAAAACCGCAAATTTCTGTGTGCATACACTTACAAATGTCTTATCATTTTTTTCAAAAGTGATATCTTAAAAATTAAAAGAATCAAAAATTATATTTTTAGCATTATCAAAATGCCAAACACATGCTAATACAAACTTAAGAGTCTATAGAGTAGACTTAAAGTCTAGAGTCCATTTAGAGTCTATAGATATAAGAGTACACATAGAGTCTATGGACATAAGAAAATCATGAAATCCAAAATAGATTTTTCAATTACAAATGAAAGAATTTATACAAAATTAATGAGTTATTTTGTTACTTTCAAAAATATAATGTAAGACACCCTTAATAATTAAAAATCAAAGAAAATATTTTAGGAAGATTTGAAGTGAATACAATAAATGCATGAAATGATATTTGCATAAAGGGCATTACAAAATCCAAGAAAAGACTTTCTAATTAAAAAAAAAAGTTTGTCAATTCAATAAACACTTTCGAAAGGTAGACAATAAATTTTGTATAAAAAAATGTAATGCACGAAAATCTTAATAATAAAAAATCAAGGGAAAGATTTTAGGGTGGATTTCAAGTGAGATACAATAAATGCATGAAATTACATTAAACTGATTACTTAAAAAATCCAAGAAAAGATTTCCTACCGTAAATAGAAGTGTTTAAATGAAACTTAAAAGAATAAATAAATCAATGAAAAATGTCAATTTTTCATACACTTTCAAATAATATAAAATAAAATAAAAATATCAATTGACTAGACACTTTTGAAAGATAGAAAAGACTGTAAAAAAGTATAATGTGCGAAAATATTAGCAAGTAAAGGAAAAGATTTTAGGGAATATTTGAAGTAAGATACAACAAATGCATGAAATGACACAAAGGACATTACGACATCCAAGAAAAGTTTTTTTTATTATAAATTACAGATTTTGAATGAAAATGAAGCAAGAAAAGCAAATATATGAAATAATTCTGTCATTATAATACACTTCAAAATAATACATGGTAATAAAAATCACCAATTAAGCAGACAATTTGGAGGGATCAAGATCCTTAGCAATCATGGATCGAGATCCCTATAAGTTAGGAACTGAATCCCCAATAGGTAGGGATCGATATCACGATTTGGTCCGAGTAGAAGGCTCTAAAAGGGCAAGGGGAAGGCCCTAAAGAACATTGATGGAAGTAGTGAGAAAAGATAGGGTAACATATTGTCTATCTGAAGGTATGACCCATGATAGAGCACAATAGCATAACAAGATTCGTGTAGCTGACCCAAAATAGTTAGGATACAGCTCGAATGATGATATGAAGCAGAAGTTTCATTCCAGTTATAAAATGCTCTCATATAATGCAAATATAGTAGGGACAAACAAATCTTGAACCCATTTGTTAGTCACCAACATGAATCTCACTTGAATATTCCATAGTGTTCATTAGAAAACAAGGAAGACCAAAGAAAGAGAAAGAGTCACTGCCCATTTTCAGACATATACAACAAAGGCATCAAATTTAAAGAAATTCGGAATACAGTAAAGGAGTTTAATACTGTCTACAATGCCCTTGCCCATTAACTCAAAGGGTAACTTCCTATAAATTATCGCATAAGATGCTATTTTCTTTATAATATTCAATAAGATCCTGACCAAGTACTTATGTCACTAAGTTCAAGTTAAATAAAGATTGCTAAATGACATCTTGAAAGAATGATCACTTCATTGTGACTCCATGATTACAACTACTTACTAAATGTGTCGACCAAATAACAATAACATACTTAAATCTAAGGAACCTCATCAAGAATTAATAATAGAGTATCACGTATTAAGTAACCCTAAGGAGACATAAATTATTGTTCAACCTTAACTGAGGCTTCACAATCAATTGAGCAAAACTCATTGAGATTCACTAGAAGAAGAACAAGTCTTGAATGCTAGACTAGAGTGACCTACACCAGAACAGGTGCACAGATCCAAGTTTGCATAGTGATTTTGTAAGTGAACCATGGATGAAACTGCTATCCCCAAATTCAATAGGTAACCAATGGAATAGCTATAATTCCAATTTAAATTGTCACATTCAAAATATCAATCAAGGATATCTATTTACTAATGCAACCAGTTAGGATAGATGATGCTGCTTAAGCAGACGTCTAGACAATTTTTTAATGAAATTAAACCAAAGAAAAAAAAATTAACGAAGAATTGAGCAGCAACATACCAGAAGAATCTTCATTGTTAATGGATGTGCTGAACCTTCATAAAGAAGACCCACAGACATAAGTGCTGCCGACTGAAAAGTCAAAGGGTAAACTATAGTTACACACATATACACACACACACGAGAGAGAGAGAGAGAGAGAGAGAGAGAGAGAGAGAGAGAGAGAGTACTAGTAACTACTAACTAAACAAGACATGACTAGAACTACAACCAAACCAACCTAACTTAATTTAACAAGAGACTAATAAATAAGTAGGTACGTGACTACTATACTA